AGGAAGGAAGGAAGGAAGGAAGGAAGGAAGGAAGGAAGGAAGGAAGGAAGGAAGGAAGGAAGGAAACAAGGGCTAGGGAGATTTTTCAGTAATTCAGAACACATACTGCTCCTGTAGAGGACTCAAGTTCAATTCCCAGCACCCACATTGTGTGGCTCACAACGATCTGTAACTCCAGTTCCTATAATCTCAGCACTAAGAAAGTGAAGGCAGGAAAATGAGAAGTTCAAGTCACCCCCTCTACATAGCAAGCTCAGGGTCAGCCTGGGATACACGTAAGTAAATGAATTACTTAGTGAACGGCTTTCTCAATCAGGGCATTACATATTTTTTAAACCAGCAGTTAGGCAGGGCCGTTGCTCACCAGTAGACTATCAGCACATTTGGTGAATGTGCAGCCCCATGTTCAGTCTCCAACATCAGAAGATACTTGTAGTCACAGAGATCTTTCTAACTCTTATGTTGAGGAGAGATTAGAAGAAATAGGCTTAGATGCCAAAATAAAAGCAGTCTAAGCCAAGCCTCAAATAAACAGCAGTAATAAAAATAAAAGATATATTTTAGAAATTTCTAAGAAGTAGTATTGTCTAATTAAAGTGCTGGCTGGGGAACAGGAAATCGAGGGCTCCTGTATTTCTTAGTCAATTGAGCCAGGCTTTCATTAACCTAAAAGCAAAGAAGTTTTTGTGGGACGCTTAGGATGTTGGTTTTAAATGTTAATTTTGAGATGTTGTGATTCATACAAATAGAGTTGTGTGAGTGTCAAGGAGAGAGATTCTGAGAATATTAGATATACATAGGTATAAAGGGTAGATAGAGCTGGAAAAGCGTGCATTTGGAGAGAAAAGGAAAGCAAGTAGTAAATAAAACAAAATAGCAACATTTAAGTTATTATAAGCAAAAAGCCAAACAGCATGGCCAGTAGCTGTAGGAAAGGAAGGTGGTAAACAAGGAAGGGCTGTGTGTGTGGCTCAGTGGTGAGCACAGGCCTGATGTGAAGAAGTCACTGGAGAAGAAAGGGAGGGAGGGTGATTGATTTTAATTTTAATGGTTGAGGCATACATATAAAACAAGGAAAGGACAATAAAAGATGTGCCTTTTGTCTTCAGCTAACAGCAGGGAAGGAAGTTGGTTATAAATGTAGATGAATTTGTAACTAAAAAGACAAGGTAAGCTATCTGATGCCCGATGGTCTCTACTTGTCTCATTGAGTTCATCCACAGAGAGTGACAAGAGTCAGAAACAGGCCGCTGTGTGAAGTACCTGCTGTCGGGAGGAGGGGAGACTTGTCTAAGGATGTCTGCTTAATGTTGTCAGTCATACAGTATCTGCATTATATTTCGTCTTACTTACTACTTTTTCCACTTCAGATCTGATACAGCAAAAACTTGGAAATCTGTAACAGAGTCTGAGCGTTCCAGAGGGTCCTTGGCATCCATTGCTGAACATGTTGGTATGTTCTGGAAAGAACAAAGTTGTGTTTCTACCTCTACAGAAGTGAATTTCTGGGGCTGCAGAGATGGCTCAGCACTTAAGAGCATGTAATGCTTTTCTAAGTTAGGTTCCTAGCACTTATCTCAGACTGGTTTCAACTACCTGTTAACTCTAGCTCCAGAGGTCCCAACTCTTCTCTTCTGGACTCTACAGGCACCCATGTGGCTGGTAGACAGACAGACAGACAGACAGACA